AGGATCCTTGAGCTCAGGAGTTTGAGGTTAAGAGAGCATGTGATGACACTGTTGCACTCTAGCTCTGGGTAACAGAGCCAAGACTCTTTCCTGGAAAAAAGAAAGGGAGCATGGTGGCCCCGAAGTTAGACAGACCCTGCCCGGATCCAAGCTCTACCCTAAGGGTATCTGTGGTGATCACGGATGAGCCTGCTGTCAGCGAGGTCCCCGCCTGAGGAATAGTTAAGAATGGTGCATCCAACATTCATAACCACATTTGCCCACCTTGGCAAACATGATAAGTGGTGCCTATTATCACAACCATAATTCTTTCACATTACCTGTTTTACTTTTATCCCAACATTTATCACACACAATTCTTTCATGCATGTAATTATTGTCTAGCCCCTAGAATACAACATTAGCTCCATGAGAAAAGTAGCTTCAGCCTCTTCAACTGTCTCTGATATCCAATAGGCTCTCAATGAGCATGAAAATGATTCATGTCCTGGGACCTTAAATTTCCTGGTACTACCAATATCTTTTATTTTTTCTTTTAAAAGACAGTGGTCAGATGTGGTAGTACACACCTGTTGTCCCAGCTGTTTGGGAGGCTGAGGCGGGTGGATTACTTGAGCCCAGGAGTTCGAGACCAGCCTGGGCAACATAGTGAGACCCTGTCTCTATTAAAAAAAAAAAAAAGACAGTAGGACTCTCCCTGCACTAATGTGTAATTATTAACTGTATACAAAATTTCTATGTAAGAGTTCTAAACTTTATACTTCATTACCGTATCCTCAGTATATGTGGGAGGTTAGTTCCAGGATCCCCGAAAACGTTCAAACCCATGAATGCTTTATTATAAAATAAAGCAGTATTTGTAATCTTCCCATATACTTTAAGTCATATCTAGATTACCTATAATACCTAACACAACACCTGTAGATCATTCATGCGAATTCAATGTAGTACTACTCGGCATGTGGCAAATTCAAATTTTGCTTTTTTAAACTTTGTGGAAATGTTTTCCCCCAAGATATTTTCAACCTGAAGTCGGTTGAATCATGGGTGTAGAACCAACAAAATCAGAGGGAAGCCATGAACAGACCTGTATTAAAGCCGCAAGGAGCACACCTTGAGATAAACCTCTATTTGCTGAGCTCAGACTGACATGCTACCCTCAGACAGACAACTGGCTAAATGACTGGACTGCAGGTTTTTTTGGGGTGGACTCTTTTGGACTTGGTTTTTAAAGATGGAGGGAAACCCAGAGAGGTGGTCTGCAGTTGAACCTGGGGTTTTTTGTTCCTTCCTCAGTCACCTCTTTTTCTTCTATGGATTCAAGTATTATGTCGGTGCTTAAGCATTCCAAACCTCTCCCTAATGATGACTTCTTTTCTAAAATTCCAGGCTCATATGTCTAAGTCACCACCTTAAGGGGCCACAGGGACCTCAAATTCAAAGCTTTAAAAACTTGTTTCTTTTATCTCCATCAAAAAACATATTTCTTAAGGATTTTATAAATGACAACTAGAGGAAAGCTTATGTTCATGAACTTACTTTGGAAGAGATGTTGAGCTCATTTCTTTTTACATAACCTAATATTAGTTCATATTAATCCTCTATGGTAGTTTGTTCATAATATCAAATGGGGATATTAATACCTCTTTTTACAAGGTTGGTGTGAAGGTGTTATGACATAATCATAAGACATGGAGAACAGCGCCTGGCCCATGGTAAGTATTCTAGAAATGCCACCAATATTTGTATTTATTATTATTAATACCAATTTAAACTATTAGTTTTTCAAATATTGGTTGAATGAGTGATTAAGTAACCCACACAAGGTCAACACATGTTGTACAGGTAGAATGAAAGCCCAGCTTGAAGTGACTTCCGAGCTTGAAATTTTAGCATCACCATCCATCAGAGATTGCTTAAGCAGAAATGTGGGAGCAGTTCCTGAGGCCTTTTT